ACATGATCAGAGGGACAGTAGTGCAAGGATCTTATGATGGGTTAGAAGTCAAGTGAACAATTAAAAATGTATCCCAAATGTTATTTATTGGCACTGATGGTTGATAAGGGTTGCTGCCAGCATTCTAGGTATCGACCAAGTGGCTTCTTAAGATGTACAATGTTCTGTGTAGCGCAGATTTTGTGGTTCCACTGGAACAGGAAGTTGTAATTTCTTGATGTGTTTTCTAAAATTCTTGGATGACAACGGCTATCACTGTCTTCTTCTTCTTCTTCTTCTGCTTCTGCTTCTGCTTCTGCTTCTGCTTCTGCTTCTGCTTCTGCTTCTGCTTCTGCTTCTGCTTCTTCTTCTTCTGCTGCTGCTTCTTCTTCTGCTTCTTCTGCTTCTTCTTCTGCTTCTTCTCCTTCTTCTTCTTCTCCCTCCTCCTCTTCCTCCCCCTCCTCCTCTTCTTATTAATTTTAAAATAAAAAATTGGCAAAGTACTTGAGGAAAAGAAAGCAAGAGATTCATTTTACTTGGATAAAAATCGTGTTCAGCTAAGTCTCAAAAGAGCCAGTCAATATTTTCTGCTTACATTTTACAGCAAACCCTTTTTGGCCGAAGCAGAGAGTGAAAAGCATGGTCTTTCAATCACAATGTTTCCTCACCTTAAAAAAAATCCTTTGTGAATAATGATACAACAAAGAGTTCCTCCAGTCTCATAGTTTTGGGGGAGACTCCAGGGGTCTGTGGAGCTGAAAGATCGGGGTTGATTTTGACCACTAAATAGCACTCCAGTCAAACATTTTTTCACCGTCCCAAAACCTTGACTTATTTCTTCCAAACTGAGTGCTGTCAAGTATCAGCCAGACGCCTGTTTAATGCAGGTTTCTGCTTCAGACATTTCTTGAAGCCAGAAAACTTTAGGTGGTGATGCAAAATCCTTTTTCTCCCAGGAGGGAGATGCTGAACGAGAAAGAAAGAATAAAGTACAGTTTTCCACATGCTTGTGGAGAGCAACTAGGGCACTAACTAAAATGACTTTAGGAAGAGCTCTTTTGCTAGTTTAAATCTGCTGACATCACAGTAATCAGATAGACTTCTTCTGCTCAGAAGTTCTGTGAGGCTTCTCGCATTGGCTAGGTTGAAAGCCTATGTTTCCTCCTCTTCTGGCAATATATCAGAATTATCTGAGTGTGTTTAACCCAGTCAACCTGCCTAATTAATCTTCTGTTTACGAAGACACCAGGGCGAATTCTGATTTAATGTTCCTAGTTTGATGAAGGGATCACATTCATTGGCCCCAATGCTCTTCAAAATGGAAAGGGAGCCCGGGGAGACCCCTCCTTCACCCATGCTTAATGCAGGAATCCCTACTTGGCTCTCCCTTTCTCTCCAGCTCCAGATTGCCAGATAGTTTTAATGCATACTCTGATGGCATTCTGGAAGTTAGCACTGATTGAGGAAAAGGTGCAGAGAAGAGCAACTAAGATGATTAAAGGTCTGGAGACTAAAGCATCTGAAGAACAGTTACGGGATTTGGGTTTGGCTAATCTAAAGAAAAGAAGGACTAGGGGGTACCATGATAGCAGCCTTCCAGTATTTGAGGGGCTGCCACACAGAGGAGGGGGTCAAGCTATTCTCCAAAGCACCAGAAGGCAGGACAAGAAACAATGGATGAAAACTAATCAAGGAGAGAAGCAACCTGGATATAAGGAGAAACTTCCTAACAGTGAGGACAATTAACCAGTGGAACAGAAGTTTCCTCCAGAAGTGGGTGCTCCATCACTGGAGGCTTTCAAGAAGAGACTGGACAGTCATTTGTCTGAAATGGTATAGCATCTCCAGCGGGGGGCTGGATTAGAAGACCCCCAAGGCACTTTCCAGCTCTATTCTGATTGATGGATAGAGGGATGGATGGATTGAGAATGTCCATAGGTTGTTTG